TTAGTTTCCGCAAAATTTCAATTTAATCAATGCGGTAATATTCATATTTTCGTCCCTTATAAACTTATCAATATCTTTTCATCACGACTTATTGCAATATTCAAATTAAACAAAAAACACAATTCAAAATTAAAAAAAAAAAATCCGCAATAAAAATTATAATTATCACTTTTAATTATACAATTAATCAACAACCTCATCATTAGGAAATTAAATTTCAATTATGATATATCATTATTAAAATAAAGAATTATAATCTTTACAAAAAAATCTTGCATTTTAATTAAAATTAAAATTACAATGAAATGAAAAGTTAAAAATAACATAAAAATTTTTTCAAGACAACAAAAAAAATTAAACATAAAAATAACGTAATACTAGAGATACTAGGTATACACAGTATTAATAATTTTAATCAAATAGTAAATAGAACAGATCCAAAATTTTTATTAAAGCAAGTATTTGACATGTCTAAAAATATGTACTTATATATATAATGTTAATACACACTTATAACAAACTTATATATATATATCTTTTAAGCAACTGGATTATTTTCGCCAATACCTATACAAATAAATTGTTAATAAAGTCAATAATACGCACTGGTGTTATTGTACCATAATATTATATATGACATTTATATCAACAGTACACATAAACTATATTAATGTACGAGTACACATTCTATACACATATGAAGACAAGTACATTGTAAAAAACTTACATGTACTTCACGCAGCAATGAACATTTTGATTAAAAAAAAATTAAAACATAAACAAGAAGTAGTATAAAACATTTTCTAACTTCTGCTTTTCTTATAGTACAAAATATTAAGCTTTTCTTATAATACACTGTACTTTAGAGCAAATATACACACATTATATGAAATATTATGTTATACGATGTAGACATAATATTATGACAACAATTTAACAAGCATACAGTGAAATCCAGACATATTGTATGTTATTGAATTTTAATGAATTCACTTTTTATAATATTATACATACATAAATACCTAATTGTACTCGTATCTCCGCTGAGAAAATTTACTAAATTTTTGCAAAGAAAAATTATTATTAAAAAACATTCCCTTATAATATTTCCTCATATATCCGAGAGTTATATTAATGTTTTCCCCCAGTTTATATTATTCAGAAAAGATTAAGACTGTAATATTGTAATTATGCTTTCAATAGAAATCAAATTTATAAAACATTTAAACCAGATTTTGTGAACATTTGACATTTTATAAAAATATTCAATTTCAAAAACTGTTGTTTCCCACTGAATAAAAAGATTTACCAAAAATTCGAAAAACAAAACTGACTCAAAGTTAATTCAAGTTTAACAGATTTTTTGATATATTGGCACTTGCTTATGATATTTTGGCGAATTTAAGTAATGTCCATAATAATAAGTTCTGAGCAATGAAAATATTCTTTCAATATGCTCTAAAATTTCAACTTGCTATTTCTACGGAAGGACAAGATTTGTCAAAATGTACCCAAAGTGACCAACAGGCGAACTATAGGAATGATAACTAGCAAAATTTTGCTTTTTTCAAATATATTGCAGAAGTGCTTAAAATTAAATTATTCACCTTTTTTTTAAACAATTGGAAAAGAGTTAACAACAATAATTACAATAAAAACATAATAATTGTAAAGAATTTTTACACTAAAATAAGCAATTAAAACATTTGAAAAAATATTTCAAGTTCAATTAATTCCTACCTATACTGTACTCATCACATTAATCTACAATATTCAGTGTCTGTTTTATATTATGCTACACTTTTTCTACACATTAATATACATATAACTATAAGTACAGATATAGAGACTGTTAAAGAAAATATTTTACAAATTAAAATTATTATTTCTAATAGTTGTAATTGTGTAAAAATTAATAAAACTATTTTTAAAACAAAAAGCGGTTCACTTAATACAAAATGTGTAATTTGTTATGAAATTTTTAAAAATGTGCTCATATGCTTAATGAAATAAAAATAATATTTTATATTTATAGTTTTTTTTTTTTAATTTTTCAAATATTTTAAAATTAAATAAATTTTTTCGTTGAATTAAAATTAGAAAAAGAAAACAAAGAATAAAATGGTTTACATTATTTTTACAAACATTTTTAATAATACTTTTTCATTTAAACACAAATTAAAAATTAAAATAAAAATTTCTGCTTATACGAAATTAATCAAGAAATTTCTTAAATCATAATTTAAGAATAAGAAGAACTAAAGTTTTCTATTAATGGCTAGATTTCTGTTCCCCTATTTCATGAATTCTTACAAAGGGACTGTTTAAAATAAAATTCAGTTGTTAAACATTAAATTTACTCACGCTTCCTGTGTGTTTTGAGTTAAATACCTGCTAGCTAGTGTGGTCTATACGAAAAGTTTATAATTGCTATATTCCGCTTTTAAATATTTAAGTTTTCTTAGTACTTACTAAGTCACACAGGTAATTATACATAAGAGAAAATATCTATTTGCAGATACTTACATTCTTCAGAAATTAAATTTATAAAAGCCGAAGTTTACCTCTTAGCGGTTCAAAAAAAGAAACGCTTAATAATAAACTAATGAAATTTTAAAAATTTATAGCTTTTCTTATGGAAAGAAACATACATTTACACCATTTTTTTGTACAACTTCAATGTTCTTCTAAACTTTTTAATAAATTATATAATTTATTTGCTTTATTAACAAAATCTCGTTTAATCATCAATGCAATATTCTTAAAGCACGACAACTAAATGCATTTTAAGACCAAAACACATACAATGTCGTCGAAATCAAGTACTAAAAACATTATGCAGAATTACATGTTGTATGCTGTCTTTTTCTCTAGCATAGAAATTTTTAACAAAAACCAACGAATACATAAACAGAATCTATAATTAGAAATCGTAAGTGACAAAATCATGTAATTCACATTTTTTGTATTACATAATTATTTGAGTAAACAAACACACATAAATTATGTGCTATATACACACAATTTAATATTTAACAGTTTTTCTTTTTGGCTCAGCATTTTCCTATAACAAGACATGAAAAAACCAAAATAAAAATGAAACACCATTTTTGCAAAATTAAAATTTAACTTTAGTACACTCACATATAACTATTAATTTATTCTCTACAACATCATTTTATATTTTGCAAAAATGTAGATATCTGCTACAAATCTAAAAAGAAAGACAATCTTTAAGAAATTGTACTGAGAAAAATTTATGTGCGAATTTTACATTGATTCATTTACAATAGAATTACTTGATAAAATAAAACAAGAAAACCGTCTTGTAGCAAAAAAATTTAGAAACATAAAATCTATCTGATGCTCTGATTTTTGATTTACTCTATATAATACATGGGAAAATGTAATGCAATTGGTACATAGTTATACCATAATTGTAAAAATCAATCTAAGTATAACGTAGGAATGAAAAAATTTAAATATATTTCTTAAAAAATTAAAAATTTATATAAGGTGTCAGAATTAACAACAAAACACAATTGAACGAATGAACAAAACTTAAAAAATATCCTAATAACTCAAAATTCATTCATATAAACAGAATATCTGCCAAGAGATTCTTTGAACCTTGTTAATGCTTTCTAAATTTAACATTATTATTCAAGTTATTCAAATATTATTGAGTGTGTTTAATGATACAATCCAAGGCATCAAATTAACAATACAATTAACAAAATTTTCATCTTCTAATTTTTCAATTATTTATTCAAAATGTGATTGTAATTTTAATCAAACGAAAATTGACTGGTATAAAAAAATCCTAAAATTGTTGTCAAAAAATCATGATTATTCTTATTTTATACGAAATATTAAGATTCTAGTAACAAATGTTTTCTCAAACTCTAAATTTTTTAATAATAACAAAATTTTATTCCTCAACTCAATTTATTTACTCAGCATTATTATTTAACATAAAACTTTTAAATTTAATAAGAAATTTTATATTTAATTTATTACATAATTCTTATAGAGCAATATAACAGGACTGTACATCATTTTTCTGTTACATTTCTTTCCAAAAAAAAAAAAAAAAAGACTAAAACTAAAAACAAAAGAAACATTTTTTAACATTTTAAGCATTTTTATTTCTTGTTTTGGTTGAATTTTCTAAAAACATTTTCCTTTTATTACCACACAAAGGCTTAAATATTTTTCAAAACAAATAATATTTATAGATATATATAATCTATAGATGTATGTATATTAAATTGTAATACTAACTTAGAAAAAATGCAACAAAAAAATTCAGCCAACCACCACTTAACTTTGAAAAATAAAAATAAAATCCCATTCTAATGGACATTTAATATTAAAAAGAATGCGCGCATTTTTTAAAAAACATACACAAACATATATTTTTAATTAACCATTTAAATATAAAAAAAGCATATATACACTTTACATATACATTGAAATTTGATCTAATGGCATAATAATATTAGGTATAAGATATTTTAAGGCAGAAAGCTCTTTTATACATACAGATTGAGTATTAGAGATACAAAAACAAATTAGCAATTTAATAAAGAAAAACTTAAACTAAAGTAGCAGTAGCTGAACAGTACTATATGAATTTCAAGAAAAAAAGAAAAACTAAAGTGCATTAATAATTTTTGTTTTTGTTTTCTATATGCTTATTGCTTCAATTTTTAAGATATTCAATATTATATTATTCATTTAAAATAACAGCCAGTAGTAGTACAGTAATAAAAACTGTAATATTTTAAGGTACATAACAGCGACAGCAATAATAAAATTACTAACAACACAAAAACTTTTATGACAGTAGAAGTAAAACACAGAAATGAAAATGAATTTAAGTTTTTTTCTTTCTTGTTATGTTTTTTTTTTGTTTTTCTTTTTTTTTTAGTTTGGATTTTTTATTTTGTGTTTTTGATTTTTTTTGTGTTTCTTCTGGTATTATGGTGTGTGAGCGATCATTTTTTGGTTGATATAAAAGCAGGTGAACGGTTACCAAAAGTATCCAGTAACAGTTTTGGGTTCGTTAACAAAACAACCCCAAATTTATTAATTTAATTTTTTTTAATTAATTACAAATTATTTTTTTTCAAATAATTAAAAATGAAATCGATGGTACGTAAATTAAAATTAAAATATGAAAATTGTTGAAATTTTTTTTGTTTTGGGGAAAATTATGAAAAAGAAAAATTCATTCAAATCGGATAAATCTTATATTACTTTCACTCAAATCAGAAAAAAACTAAATGTAGTAAAAAATTAAAGAATTTCAAAAAAAAAAAAAATATTAAGGATCTTGTGATACACAAAGGATTATAAAATTATAAAAAACAAAAAAGAGAAAATTATGTGAAAATATTTTTTAGTAGTGAAAAATCTCCAAGGATATTTAAAATTACTTAAACAAAATAAAAATTAAAAAAGTGTTGAAACTCAATGAAAAAAAAGCAAACAAACAATTTTGTTTTATTAAAAATTGCAATTAAAATGAAAGTGAAATATTTTTTTTTCAATTTTTCATTTAAATTTCACCAAATTTCAGTTTAAATATTGTGGTGATATTAAATCCTTAATAAACTTAAAAGACAACAAAAATATAAAAAATTTATTGCTCCTTTAAATTTATGAAATATTTTTGTCACTTTTGTTTAATATTTTAAAATTGTACTTTGTTTAAAGCAATAAATTAATCGCAATGTATTCCATTTTCATTGCAGTATATCAATTATCGCAATTAACACAATTGAATTCAAAAATACTACAAATTATATTTTAAATTCACTTTTAATAAGTAAAATAATATTTTGAATTCTGTTCCAAGTAAAAGAAATACTCAATTAATTTGTACTGGTTGAAAACTCTTATACTAAATATTTATACAAAAAAATAGTACTCAATTAAATTTCGTACCTTATTAAAGTGAAATTCAATTCTATTATTTTTAATTCATATAAAATTTTGAAATTATTCTATAATTTTTTTAATTTAATTAACACATTTAATAATTAATATTTTATTCTTATATTAATTCAATATTTAAACAAAATTTCAAATGCAATATATGAAATCATTAAGAATTGTGCTTTAAAATTTTTAAATATATTGTAAGCAAATGTATACTTGCTGACAATGAAAAACTTTTAAAATTATCATTATTCACGCATAACCAAGTACATGTATTAATAGTCCTTCAATTCAATACTCACAAAGTTTAAAAATGAAGTGCAAATTTTAAAGTTTTAAACAAAAATCTAAAAACTACTTCTATAATATTATATAATAAAATAAAAATATTTTATATGACATAAATCAGGAACAATTCATATATATCAAATTCCAAAATGGAACAATTTCTTGAAATACGAAATCGTTCCTAAATTTAGCATTACAAAATAATATTAAAATTTTTCATTCTATTAGAATTTTTTAAAGATTTTGTTTTAATTTCTAAATATTTTTTTAATATTTCCCAAATTTTTTTAAGCAACCACTTAAACTACCAAATTTTAACAAACCAATTTTGAAACACATACATACACGCATTTGATTATCAAATGGAAATTATATTACTTAATATTTCAATTAAAATTGTATTGAAGCCAAATACTCACTATTTTAGCCATTTAATAATACTGAATTTTTATGTAAATTAGTGTATTATTTTTTTCTTGTTTGTAAAATTTACATTCAAATATTTCAATAAATTTATAAAAAAAACATGGTTGTCGTATAGCTTTTAATTGATTTCTGCTTTAATTTTCTTGCTTATTACAAAACTAAAAGTCACCAATAATATTAAAGTACGAAACAAACATTGCAAATTATTGAAAGAAGTAGGATACAAAAATACCTTATATGTATTTTAATTATATGCATACAAATATATTAAATATCTTAAATATACTAGTATTTAAGATGAAGTAAAACAAGAATTAATCAAAATAATTCAGACCAGTTTCTTAAAAAAGCAAAAAAACAAAAAAAGAAAAAAAAATATTGTAATTAAAAAAAAAAATAACATGCATTCATATACTTATTAAATTCTACAGTCGCACTCCAGTAAAATTATAAATTTTTCTTTAATGTGCTCGCATAATAATTTAGAGCATATTATATAAAATAAATTAACATCTAATTTACACCTGATATAACTGGCTGGTATAAGCAAAATAAAGAGCAAAAGTACTAAAAATTTCCTTTTAATTAAATTTCCGTTGTCAAAAGTTGAAGAATGTTTTTTAAAAATATTTATAATTTCATAAAATTGACCATGTGAAATGATTACATATTTGAACTACATAATTTTTTAAATGTATTATGTACTTGAATTATGTATTTATAAAATACAAAAAACTAAACTAACCATGAAAATTTAATGCAAAGTTTTCCATTTTTCGCACAACTCCAATTGAATTTTTATTCAATTAATTTTGCTTTAAATTTAAAGTGGGTAATAAAATCATAAAAATTTTCTTTACATTTTAACTATCGTTTTCCACTTTTATTTTTAATATTAATCCAATTATTTTTTTATTTTAATAGTTACAATTACTTTACCATGTATATGGTAAAGAAATCTAGTTTAATATTCCAATTATTTAACCTACACCTTTTGTGTTATTTAATATATATTTTTTTTTTCTTCACATATAACACGTACTCGTATTACTTGCATTATAATGTGAACATTAAAAGGGAAAATTATTTTCATATCCCATTCTCATGGAAATTATACAAAAAAAATAAAATATAAAATCATAATTATAATAATTATTACACATTATTTTTAAATTACATGGTACCTAAAAGAAAACGGGTACTTTGATCATGGTCAAAAATTTTCTACAAGAAAAATGTGTAAAAAAATTTATTTTTAATAGAGCCTAAGTTGTATTATGATGCAATTTAAATTTCAAAAGTAAATATTTAAATTCAATAGACAACTATACAAATATAACTTTTAACAATGATTACTGTTGACAATAACACTACTTCTGCTGCTGCTGTTAAATGTGCAATAAAACGTAAAACAAATAAATAATTTAAAAAAAACCAGATTGAGTTTTTTTTTTATTTTTCTCTTATTTTTTGTTCCTCACTTAAAAAATGATTAACTATTCAACATATTTACTTAAATATCAAACAAATGAAACATTTTTAAATCATAAAAAAAAACTGTTCAAAGAACATCTTTTACATTTTATTTTCCATATTTGTATGTTTATTGTCATACCATCAACAAATGAGCCACGAGTGGTCGTATGTCAAAAAGCAAATAACTAATAATTACAATAAATAAATATTTTTTTTTTGTCACACATTAAACTATGCTCATATTTGCATAGTTCATATTAAATATATTCATATAAATAAATAAAAACTCAACAACTATGTTTTTTGAATTAAGATTAAAGTGAATGAATCATTGAAAATCAGGTAAATTTCAACTTTGAAGATGATTCACTAGATCTACCACAACAGTAAAACAAAACAAAATTTACATTAAAAAATTAAATTGAAAAGAAAAAATCATGTTGCGGCATCTGTAGTAATTTACATTGCGTATTTTAGCTGTTATAAGCATTATTTAATTTTGGTTTTTTTTTACTATGGTTTACAATTATGTGAAATATACGCGCGCTTACCTTACAATAAAGTACGTGCAATAACTGGAAATCTGAATAATTTTAAATAAATTTTTTTTTATTACTATTATTATGTAATGGAATTATAATTGCAACTATGTATATTTCGAAAAATTATACAATAAAATTAAAAAATATTGCACAGAAAATATTCTTTACAACTTTGATTGGAAAACCAATAATATTTTCAAATTATTAAATTTAAATTAACATATTTTTTTAATTTACAAACAAGCAAAAATTACAAAAGACTTAAGTGAAGAACTTGAAATTTTTCTATACACAGGAATATTAGCGCAATTTCTAATTATTGCATTTCTAATTATTTTTAATTACAAAATTTCAGGTTGTTAAAAAATTTCTCAAATCAAATAATTTTCATTTAAAGTATTTATTGCTCTTTAACTCTTAATTTACAGACAGTTATCCAAATAATAAGCAAAAATACCAAGAAAATTCATGATTATTATTATAAATTTATTTTTTTTTTTTTCAAAATTAATTTTATTCAAATGTTTTTTTAAGAAGAATATATGTTCATATTATTAATTGCAATCATTAAATTGTAAAAGTCATTAAATGACAATTCCAATGTTAAAATCTATTTGTAAACCATCCATATTATAAGTTTTAATAATCATAAACATTGCGGTGAAATATAGGCTCATGACTTGAATTATTTATTCGGATCAAAAAAAAACAAAACTGTGATTATCTTTTAAAACACTGAAAAGAAATTTATAACACAACTTCCTTCTTATTATTTCAAAATTTCAAAACGAAAAAGAAAAAAACAAATGGTTTCTTTAGATGCATTTTAAATAGAAAATGAAAATTTTTATATGAAGCTTTGTTTTAATCTTGAAATTTTAATCTTTTTCGAATTACAAATGTGTAATATTAACGCAATGTTAACAAAATTTCAATAAAATCTCACAGTAACAGACGGATAGGATATATATATGTATGTGGAAATCCATATTTATAACAATCAACTTACGAATAAATATTTAAATGTGAAAAAAAATCAGAAAACCGCGTAATTGTAATAATATGGTGATATTTTTTGCGCGAAATTTAACGATCAAATTAAAAGAAGAGCGTAAAAAAATTTTTTTTCCTTTATAATAATATGTGCATGTGAATAAAATCTCAATTGGTTTGCATTAACAAATAGCAAAAAAAAAAAGTGTGATTGAGCGGGTGCATATCTCTTGGTTATACAAATTTCTTTTGCACATATAAATTTTATACAACTCAAAAGAAAAATAAATTAAATGATGACATAAAAAAAAATTAATTTTTTTGTTTTCTTTTTTGCTTGTCTTTTTATTTTTTACTTTCATTTTCATTCAAATTGACACTATGATTTAATAGTGAAATAATGTTTTGTTTTCTTTGAATTTTTTTTCCCAGCTTTTCTTTGGGCTCTTAGCTACCGCATTTATATTGAGTGTTAATGCTGAAGATAAGAAAAAAGCTAGCGAAAGTAAAGGTGTTGAACCAAAAGCTAAAGCTGATAAAAAACAAGAAAAACGTGGAATTTTTAGTACTAGCTACGGTCATGGTTTTGGTTATGATCATCACGGTCTTGATCATTTAGATTTAGGTGGTCACCATTTTGAACATTTTGATAGTAGCAATGATTATTCTCATGGTCTTTCAAGTTATGGTCATGGACATTATGATTTTGGACCACATATCGATCATGTACATCATCATAAAACAATAACACTTGTTAAAAATGTTGCTGTACCATATCCAGTTGAAAAACATATTCCAGTTCCTGTAGAAAAACATGTTCCAGTACCAGTTAAAGTACATGTACCACAACCTTATCCAGTTGAAAAAGTTGTACATTATCCAGTTAAAGAAATTGTTAAAGTACCAGTACATATTCCAGCACCATATCCAGTAGAAAAACAAGTTCATGTACCAGTTCATGTACCAGTTGATAATCCAGTACCAGTTAAAGTATATGTACCCCAACCCTATCCAGTTGAAAAACAAGTTCATGTACCAGTTAAAGTACCAGTACCAGCCCCATATCCAGTTGAAAAGAAAGTACCATATCCAGTAAAAGTACCAGTTCATGTACCACAACCATATCCAGTTGAAAAAATTGTCCATTATCCAGTTCATGTACCATTTGATCGTCCAATACCAGTTCATGTTCCAAAACCAGTACCAGTACCAGTTGAAAAACCAGTACCTGTTCCAGTTATTAAAAAAATTCCAGTACCAGTACATGTACATGTTGATCGCCCATATCCAGTCCATGTTGAAAAACCTGTACCAGTACCAGTTAAAGTACCTGTACCAGCACCATATCCAGTTGAAAAAGAAGTTCCAGTACCAGTTGAAAGACATGTTCCATATCCAGTTAAAATCCCAGTTGAACGTCCAGTACCAGTTCATATTGAAAAACATGTACCAGGTATATAGAAGAATTTTCATAATTTTCATAATACATTTGGCCTTTAAAATTAATTTAAAAATTTTACGAATACATTTTTTTTTTCTTTTTTATCGTAACAGTTGTTCACGAATCATACAAACCATACAAAGTTCCAGTTGCAGTACATACACCAGTTCATTTACATGAACCATGGAGCAGTCACGGTCACAATGAACTCTCTTCATATGGTGGCGAATATGATCATCATTCTTACCATCATTAATATGAAAGAACATTAAATAATTTTTTTTAAACAAAAATTTAAATATTTTCCAAAACAAAATAACAAGAAAAAAAAGCATAATAATACGAATTCTCTCCCTCTCAATAAAAAACAAAAGCACTACAAAACAACTGTTATATTTTAAAACATTAACAGTTCATTTTTTTAGAGAGAGAGAGAGAGTAAGAAAAAAAAGAATAAGCAACCCATCTCTTTAAGGAGACGTATTGTTGCATTTCGTGATATTCAAATTGTTTTCTACTTCTATTAAAATTTCAAGTTTTAAAAAAAACAAAAAAAAATAAAATGTTATACTTCATTATTGTTTTCTAAAACTCTCTATTTTCTATATTATTTTCTCTTTTTCTAATTGTTTTCTTCTATTTGTTCTCTTCACTAATTTAATTCATTAAATTTCATTTCAAATTATCTTTATTAAACAAAAAGCTTAATTTAATTAATTTTAGTATTTAAGATAAATAAGATTAAAACATCAAATAAATAAAAGTCATCATTTGAAAACCCTTCAAAGAAAACGCTCCGAATACCCCCTCATAAGTACATAAATTAGATAGATACGATATACAAACATAATATACAAAAGGGTTATCGTTATTTTATTATATTAAAATAAAAAAAAAAATTAAAAAAAAAATGGCCACACTGCCACTTATTTTATAGTATTTTATAGAATATTTAATAAAATAAAAAATAATAAATATAAAATTACAAAAAAAAAAAAAAAAAATATTTACCAAAAGAATTTTTGGAGAAATTTTTCAAATGAACAAAAAACAAATCAGAATAAAACACGATAGAAAAAAAAAACAAATATGGCGGTACAAAATATAAAGTCACGATTTTTGTTCTTTATTCCCTATTGAATTAAAGAAAAATTTTAAATCGGACCGTTGTATATGAACCGTTATTCATCCATATTTATGTTTTTATTTTATTCTTTTTTATTTTTTGTTTTTAACTTCGGTTCTTGAAAAAAATTTCTCCCGCCAAAATTTTTAGTGAAAAAAAAAAATTATTTTTTGTTCTTTCTTGCCCAAAGTAACTTTTTTTTTATTTGTTTTGTTTTTACCATCCATTTTGAACATACATAAATTATATAAAGTGTATACAATCATGCCAAATACACAAACATGCAAGTATTTATTATTGCTTTATTTGCACAAAATGTACATAAAAAATATCAAAATTGCCAATATAAAACAATAATAATGTTATTTATGTGTTTGTGTTTTTAGTAAAAGAAAATATGATTGTGTACATACATACATAAAAAAAAGCAAAATCTCGATATTTCATTTTTATACATTAATTAATAAAATAAAAAAAAAATAAGAAAAAATTAATTAAAATAAATAATAATTAATTTTATTTGTAATTATGTAATATTTTTTATATATACATTAAAAATATGTAATAAATAAATATGTATTTTAATTTTTTATTTTTTTGTAAATAAAATTTTAAGATTAATTGAATTGAACAAAAGAAAATATTAAAAAAAATTTCAATATTTTTTATTTCTTTTTTTACAAATTTTTTTTACAGGTATTCTATTATACTAATGAAAATTAGTATAGCAAAATTCCCTTGAATTGAACAAGCAAAAGATAACATTTTATAATATATTATATTAGTATCATATCTACTACATATGTTGAATAAATCAAATTGAATTGGATTCAAGAAAAATTAAGAATCTGGGAATTAAAATAACTTTTAAAATACAAAACTTAATAGTCATTATGTACAAATATGAAGAAAATTGAACGTTAAATGAAATTTAAAACAAACTTGAAAATTTAATATTAAATTTTAAACTCGAATAGTTTAGCTGAATTTAGTTTTCAATTGAATTATGAGCTCTAACCTAATTGAACTAAGGTTTGTAAACGAATCTTAATATTATTACTATATTTTGATTTAAATTACAAATTTTGTATTTATTAATATTATAACAAATTTCTGAAATTTAAAATTCAAAAACTATAAAATTAATTTTTAGAACACTTTTATTCTAAATTTTTATTTTTAATTGTAAATTAATAATAAATTAAAAATAATTTCAAAAATAAGAATTATTGATTTCAAAAAACTAAATTATTTTAACTAATTTAAAAAAATTACATGTCAATTTAAGAAGGTTTAAACCTTAACTGATCGAAAAGCAATCAAAGATAAAATTGAAGAAGCTATTTTCGATTGCATTAAAAATTTATTGAATTTTTTTGTAATTTATTCTTCAAATTTAAAGTTATATAAGTATTTATTTGCTTATTTAACCTAAAAATCCCAAAAAAACTATGATAATGATTGTAAATTCGAAAACTTTTTCTTCTACATTTAAACTGTTTTTAATATTTTGATTTTTGTTTTTGAAAGTGGTAATCGATTCCTTTTTATTACATAATCTATTTGTTTATGTTACATAAGAGTCAAAAATTTAAGGATTTCGTTGTAATGTTTACCGCGTTTAAATTAACTCATTTTTTTTAAAAATTGGACATACAACACTTTCAAAACAAAAAGTATTTTTATTAAAAATATTAATATTATTTAAATTATTTACTCAAATTAAATTGATATGTATTTACAAAAATATTCCATACACATAAAAAAATTTCAAAAATATAAAACCTAATACTCTTAATCATTCATATTTGCAGTAATTAATCATTCATACAATTACATGCGATATTTTAAAATTAGCCCATTTATAACTTTATTGTGGAATCAATAAATACATTTTGTCGCTATTTTCCACATTTCACAAAATGGTAGACTCTTAGGAGCAAAATGGTTACCAGATTATAAGAAAATTGAGGTAAATTGAGTTTATATGTATATATTAGAGTTTTATGTTAACGATTGACATAAAATTTTTAAATTATTTTTTAAATCTATCACATGCTTAGCTTGTTTAAGAATACAAAACGTATTGTATAATTCAGTGTTTAAACTGCAGAAATTTTCTATAAAAAAATGTTCTAATAAATAATAAACCACTTAGCGCTGTTTACCTTTTGTTTTATTAATTATATATACATACCTCATAAACTTATGTACATGAATATAAACATATACGTACATATATGAATAATTATTTTAGCAAAGAATTGGAAAAAAAAACTTTCATAAACAAGACATTTAACATCGATAAGATCAATTACTACAATAGCCCACATTCAATTTAACGTTCGTGAATTTTTTTTAAATAAAGTTAAGTCAAACCAATGGTTTGTATTGTAGCACTTTTCCCTTCAACAAGTGAAAATTCTGCTTTTAAATACAGTCTATGTATACCTATATACACACTATTAAAATTATTTTCAGTCATATACAAAACTATTTCTAGGATTGCATATATTTAGGATGTCGCATATATGCAGTCTTTGAAATAAAACAAAAATTAATATAAAGGTGTTAGAAAAATAATTATATTTTTTAATGTCATGGAATTTAACGTTAGCTTTTTGTGTTTATAGAAATTTGAAAAAGCTTGTGGTTTCGGAAATATAAGGTGTCAAAAATCAAATTTTACAAATTTCAAGAGGAGATAACTTGAGAGGGAATGGAGATGGAAAAAAATTTTCCTCCAACGAAATGAACTATTTGTTAATGTCTAAAGGCCCCTAAAATTTTAAGCTTCTACAGGCTAGGGTCTAGAAGAAAAACGAAATCAAAAATTTGGAAAAAAAGGCTTTAGATAACGGTAAATTTGAACGGCCATTTTGTTTTTCTAAAGTTTAACTATAGTATACCACGCTAGGGAAAGCAAGCTGCTGCCTTTCTGCATTTACAAAATTTCGAAAATGCTTATGGTTTCATTGCAACAAATAGTTAAAAAAGGCCATTTTTAGGGTTTTGGGGTGGTATAACTTCTAGGGAGGGAGAGATTTTAAAAATTTTAAAAAGAGGTAAAAATTTTCTTCTACAGAAATAAGATTCTAGTAAAGATCCATGTTCGTATAAAATTTCAGCCTTCTATCTTCAAGAGTGTAGAAGTTTTGTAAACAGTCACACGGACAGACAGCGGACGGACAGGCGGACAGAATGAAACTAATAAGCACTTTTTTCAAAAATTTTTTGGAAAAGTGCTAAAAACCACTTATAGAACATACACTTTAATACACAAACAGCCTTACACAAATTCTATGTCCATTTACTTTAAACATGTGCATACAACGTATGTTCTTAAAATACATAAATATTTTGTATGAATAAACAGTTCTATTTTTGCGTAATTATTTCAATAAGGCAAAACCGTGTAAGTCAAATTATCACAAAATCAAGGTATTACTACATTTAAATTTTTTATGTTCAAATTTATTATCCAACAAAATTTTACTCAATTCAAAACATTCTAAGTTGTTTTGAGTGATTTTGATTTGATTTTCTAATTCTAAGAAGTTCTAATACAGGCTGACAACAGTTTGAATGCATTGCTATAACAGACAAAATATTGAATGCATTGCTATAACCATGCATTATAAATTATCGAATTAAGTTCTACACAAGTTTGACTGCATAAACTACAATACGTTAACTTAATTTACTCGAAACTCTACTAGTTTTGACTTAAATCGTTTTGCCTTACACTCGTATTATGTAGATATAAATGAATGTGTATTAGAATAATAGTAATAACACAATGAATACGTATTTCATTAAGAGGTCAGCAATGTGAGTAATCAACAATTCAGCATATTTGATAGCAAAAAAATCTTGTATTTTTAATTCTCATTAGTGTTGACTCTAAAATAAAAATAAAGTACAAAAAAAAATCTAATAATTTTTTTTCGTAATTTTGAAATTTTCATTTGTAAATTTTTTCTCTCCTGAAGTTTTCTTGTTTTTGTTAATTTTTTTTTATTTCAAGGTCATTTATATATCAGTTTTTCTTTCAATCTAATTCGAAAATTTAATTGAAAGCGCAACATGTATCGCACGTAAGAGGAAAAAAAAAATAAAACACAACCTATTTGAACCTGTAACGTGAATGTCTAGGTCTCTGCGCGAATAATTTTTTATTTTTCTTCTTTTGTTGATTTTTGCTGTAGGCTTTTAATGTCTGCTGTCTAATTCAGATGGAAAATTAAAAATAAAAAAATTTAATTCCCTAACTATCATTTCCAGGTCATTTTTTCTTAAAATACCATGCCATTGTGTTTTTGTTTTTTTTAATAAATGACCAAAAATAATTTTTTATATAAAAAAAAAATAATTGCTCATATTGGATTATTACATGAAATGGCAACTAAATAATTGCGTCTTTTGAATTCTCAAACTTAATAAATTTGTTAATTTATTTTTATTAACAGGTTATAACTGTTAATTCCAAAAATAAGTTGGTTACACAAAGACATTAAATGCGAAACTTGCTTTAGGCCAGTCGCAAGGCAAGCTTGAAAATGTTGTATGATTGTGTATATTTTGTTTTATAAATAGAAACCGTACTTTGTAAAAAGCCGATTACAGAAAAAGAATTTCTTCAAAAAAAAAAAGCGAATCATTTTATTGTTCATATCGTTGTATTGGTTAATTTACATTTTATACAGAAGTTTTGAAATATTGCTCATTTACATGCGGTGGCTATGCTCCTTTAGAACTTTACTTAAGAACAAATTTTTACTTTAGAACAAATGTTTTACTCATATTTTGTTCTTAAATAAAAATATTTAAGAAGCCATTATTACAATTAAAAAACCAATACTAAAACTGACTTTATTGCTTTTTCTGTTTTTCCTTAAGTAAATTTACTTCCCAAATTTATATCTAAATACATTTCTGCCTCTAAGTACAATATTCAATAAAATATTCATACATACACCCATATAATATATAGCAATTATTTAGCACAATCTGCAGCAACAATTTTTTTTGGGTTTTCATCTTAATCACGCCCTTGATATACGAAATAATCCATTTTTGGACTTTTAATTGAAGATTTTTAAAAGAGTTTTTGTATTTTTAAAATAAAAGGAAAAAAAAAATCACAGTGAAAACAAAAGTAAATGAACAATACTTTTTTTTAATATAAATTTAAAAAAGATTTATTCACTTACATCACAATAATAAAATATATATATAAAGTTAGCCTGAATGAATATTAAAATAATACAATGAATATACAAAACATGTATAAGAGCTATAAGAGATTGCAACTAAAAACGTTACTTGGAGATTTTATACCGTGACATAAGTTTAATTTTTATCCAAATAAATAATTGGAAAATTTTTTGTAATCGATGATGAGATACAATATTTTGATATAGTTGATAAATAGTTTGAAATTTATGAACGATACAAAAT